AAATGGAATATCGTAATTTATGAGTATGTAATAAACATTCTCATGCAAAAGTGATGCATGAATATTTTTGCGAGCTACCTTGTTACTCACATGATACTTTTATGTGGAATAATTGATACGTTACGACAATTTTTTGATACATAAAATGCTTGTGTCAAAATTCTACATGTACCTCATGCCTTTATCTCATAATTATTTCTTATCGAAGTTCCATTTCAGTAATTGTGGAACTTGGAGAAATATGGGTTTACTTCTGTTCGATAAAGATAGTATATCGTTTGTGTGTTATTTAAGATTTTCGTGATTGGAAATTTAAGACGGCCGTTTATACTCTTCAATACAATCTATGGCACAGTCATAACGGAAAAACTGAAAATAGTGTTACATTGTGAGTTGTGCACTTTAAGGTAATGTAGTACAGTTTTACTGAAGTCAAAACAATAGCCATATATAATTTGTTAAATTTCCTAAAACAAATAAGAAAAACTTTTAAAACCTGAATTTAATACTAGCAAATAATAATTATTCTCATAAATAAATCATAATGTTTACTGATCGCCGAAATTAGTAAACGAACATCACGGTTAACAAATTTTGTTTTGAGCCAACAATTTTGTTTTTGAGCAGGGTTGTAGGGTTAACTTTCTAGCATAAATCCACCATGCTACCTTAGACGCATGTGATGCCACTGCTGGACGAAAAGTTGTTCCTTTGATTGCTGAAGGAATAATGAGAAACACTCGGTTCTTGTTGAGCCCTGAGTAACCGTGGGAACGATGACGGTGTCGAAGATCCGAGGTTGATCCCTGGTGGAAGGATCAAAAGAAAACGAGAGTAAGTGGAACACGAACGAAGGGAAAAAGTGTAATAAAGTGTGACACGTACATTAAAAATCGCTGAGAGTACCTAACGCGAAGTAATGCCCTTAATGCGATAATGGTACCACGAAAGATTTATGACAATTGACTAAAAAGCTCGTTTACCCGGAGAAAGCATCTTCTCTACGAGAGATGTCTTGAGAAATTATATTTCCTGCGAGAAGTCGTGCTCTCTTACCAGTGAAGTTCTCGCAACGGTTTGTTCAATTCCTCGGTACGTAGTTTGTGGTTTCTCCGCTATCCCCGACCAGAAGTAATATAACCTCTCACCCACGCGTAGCCACCCCTCTAGTTTCTACTCTGAGAAATTTTCAATGCCACGAAAACTCAAGTTATTCTTTCTACTAATTAGTTCCCGAAAAATCGTCAAAGTCTAATGTTAACCTTTCCAAAAAAGGCCATCGGTGTTTCTCCCCACCGTGTAATCATCTGTTCAATTTCGAGAACTCTTCAAAGGTCTAATCGAGATAAAACAAAGTTAAAGAGTTCAAGTAAAGTTTTCATGGTACATACTTTCGACATTCGGGATGCTTCAATGGACGATTGCATGACAACAAGCAATACCAAAATCCTAATGGCAAAAGGATGAACTGTCCTGTGCAAATATACCGAGAGAGAATCAAAGGTACCGAGATAAACATAGTAAGGTTGAGTAACTAACGGACTATTTATACAAACTTGGGTGATACCCTTGCATCAGAAATGCTGCGTGAACGATACAAATTTTAAAGTTTCTTCTTTGATATAGAACCTACATAGAGGGACATTCATGTTTGAATGTACCCATATATGTACCAATATGTTTAGGTGTCTACTACTGACGTCATAATAGGAGGGATGAGGAAAATATAGAAGGTCCGTGCCTGAGCTCGGCATCAAAATGTAAAAAGTGGGCCAACCAAGCACGACATTGGCAGTTACGTCAGTGTGGACACAAAACACATTTTACCTTGTAATGCATTGGACAGAGGGTCGTAACCTCAATATGTGGTAGCAGGTGATTTATTGTTTGAGACTGCGATACACGCAACCTTATAGTCGATCAAACGTCGACATACATAAAATGGTTACGTTTATAAGTTAGGATCGCGAATAGAGAAAATATCGTAGGAGGATGACAGCTTCCGAATTTTTCTCGAGATGTCTTCACAAACGAAGTTAAAAATATAGTTTAGACCCCAATATTCCTCGTTACTTTTACACAAACCAATTTACACAAAGTTCTTTTCCCCTTCTATTTATTTACCGTTTCTATATGGTTGACGGTCTTTCCATTATCATCGTGTATTTGTCCAAAAGGAATTTTCCAAAGAGCAAACCAACAATAAATCACCCCGTTGACATAAGATTTCACAAAGCAAAATCGCACCTGTAGGTGTATCCATTATATTCCTCGGGCCGGGGATTGGACCTCGTCTATATTACATGCCTGAAGGAGATTCCACATACATATATGTATATTACCTTCGTTAAGGTACCTGGCATAACAGTTGGTATAATGCTGGTGGATAGTGATTTAAAGAATAATATCGAATTTCAATTCACGGCCACTGCGGCCTTTTTTGTTCCCCGGTGAAGATATTAGGATTTATCGACGTGTTCGTCGGTCCGCTTTCTTGAGACCTTCTTCTTTTCAATCTTCTTATCATCGAGGAATCGCATTCTGCTGTGAAAAGTGATAATAAGGAATGACTGACTTAGAAGCGGAGAGGGCCAGTGTGTACCGAAGGCTTTAGAACAGAAGCAATAGATACCCCGTTAACACATAACGGCACAGTTATCTGACAATCTATTTTATAACATGTTTGATATAACATGTATATCGAGACACCAAAAAAATGTATGATATTTTGCTATGTCCCTATGAAATGTTGCTGATATATGTTAGATACATTGTGCTTGTTTTATAAAAACCTAAATTTAATAAGTATCAAATTTAAGGATAAAAAAATATTAAATGTAACCTAATTTAATTTCATTCCTATTATATTTAACGAAATGTGAATTGTGTCGTCGAAAGTATATCCGCTAGGTGGCCAAGCGTGAAACAACCAACCCGCAACTAAAGTGTGTCTCTCAAATGTCTATTATAGAGTAATACTTTTAGGCAATATAATTTATTAAAAGTGTGTAGGTGTAACGTAACCAGCTACACTGTGCTTTTCGAATATCTCGATTGTAATTATTTAAGGTCTGAAATACATGTATCTCAAAAAATGAACTAAATTCCCAGCAAACACGATTATCGCATTTATGTCAATGTTACGTAACTATTATAGTACAACATAGGATAAAAAGCATCATGAAAGTAGTAGACAGTAATAGAAATTCAACAGAGACCCTGGAAGTCTTAAAGATGGATAGTGGGAGAAGAGCGTGATTCGTAGGATGTCCTTCTACAACAAGGAAATAATAGTTGAAAATATCACTCGGAGATCAGGATGTATATCAATTTTTATCCTATATTTTAAGTAAGTAATAGTAAATAAATATTTATTGACGTATGGATAGACGTGTGTATGTGAATTACATTTTCAATTATAATGGTAAACCACCCGATTAAACAATCGTCTATAGTAAGTGAGAAAGAGTTCCAAAAGAAAAATACCCAAGTCTTTCCAGTCTCAACTACAGGACTAGGATACATAAGTCACGGAAGGCCTGGCTCTGTACAACAAGTGGATGAGGTTAAAAAAGTTAAAAGAAATGAAAAAATGAAAGAAAAAGGAGAGGATAAACAGGTGGCAGTATCGTTCAGAATGTAGCCTGACTAGCACAATCTCGTTAGTCAGGATTTGCTTGGCGTTACTCACAAAGGTGATCGGTGACGATTACCAGAGAAAACCGAAAATTTATGAATGAACTGTAATACAGCTGGGTGGGTCGATAGAGCATCCCTCAACCCCCGCTGGCGTAGTAATCAATACAGGGGGTTGGGTAGGCGTGGAAAGCGGAGGGCACAGGGATGGTAAAGTCCATTCAGTAGAGACGCTAGGCCTGCTATTGATTGCGTGGGTGGCAGAGGGTGGTTTTGGTAGAGGCTACCCCCACTACCGACTGCTTGCTTTCCCTCTGGGTTCGCACTGGGCTAACGGGAGCACGAGACACAGGGGTAGTTCTCTCGCTCTACTGCTGATGCTCGTGATGGGAGTTGCTGTAGTGGGGGGGCGTAGGCGGTTTCAGGGGAAAATTTTGCTCCAGGGGTAAGGTACAGGGCTGAACACACATTTTTTGATGCCCTGCCATTCTTACGAGCATCGATCGACAGCTTATTGATCTTCGATTGATGGACTGTATTCAAAAAGTGCACTTCGTGTGTCGTCTTGCTATTCAACAAATTTTTTGCTATAGACAAATACGTTAACAAGTAACCATTCCTTGAAAGAGGAATTTAACGATATTTCTCAGAGTGATTGTTTTACAGGGTTTTTAAATTTGACTACTATTCTGAGGAATTTAACGCATATCTGTCTTTTTAACATTTTTTAAAAGTGATATCATTCCGTAAGGACTTCTTCTACTTAGCATATATATGCAGTTTCGTAAACAGTGGCTGAATTGGGAAAACAATATTTTACGTGGTAATCGGTAAGAATTATAATTTTACCGCTATATGTTGTTTTACTCAATTCCATGATTTATTTTCAGTATTTAGATGGATATGTTCTAATATCGATCAGGTTTAATGTGAACGTGACGTTCAACAGGTTAGTAAATGATCAACTGTATTCTTTAAATTTTTATTTTAATAATTTTAACGCCTTTGACGCCATTAATGGATTTTAATAATAAAGCTATTGTATAGTATGTATCTTTAAGTACCGTTCGGTGAAAAGTGATGCAATTAGCTATACATTTGAGAACTCAATACAAGAAAAGGATTCGCTAATGAGCTATTTACAGAGGTTATCATTTTATGTTGGTCGATGACTAAAATAGTATATTTAAATGAGCATTCATAAAGGGAACGGTACAAACTTAAAAAACTTACAGAGTCGTTTTCGTACGTAACGGCCGTTACATATTGGACCACGTTATGCCTTGTATGTACGAGACAAAACTACCCAACAGTTGTAGCTAGTGTCGCCATCCTACTGTGGCTTAGGACATTCACAACGTCCATTACTGAATTCCATACCTAGATGTCGATCGTATCAAGTTCCAATACAACCAATGTCCAATCTACGAGAAAATTCAACGATCTACGTCTCCTGGTTTCTGCTGATCGAGCAAATATGGCCGAATCAGAAAACACTGAAAACAATAGGAATTAAGGCTACAGACGATTAACAAAGTCCCATGTGTGTGTGTCCAACCGGTGATGTAAATTTGGACATAGTTCTGACAAAAGCTTCGGTGTAGATGCTCTAATCCAATAAATAGTTTAAATCTGCACGTGAACGTAAAATTCATTAGGTTTTCTGTGGAAATTATTAAATGAGTGCGTGGAGTTAGTGATTACGGATACTACAGCGACCTACGACCTTCTTGTTGTGGGTATACTTCTGGGACATTCGGACTTCTTTCGCTTAGCGACGTAACAACAGTCTGCTGTGAATATTTTTGCCAATTGAAAAATTGATTCAGGAGGATGACGATTCTGTCGAAAAAGAAGACGAATGGGACAAAGGATAGGCGTGAAGGAGCAAATGGGCCCGAAGTAGATGTCCATGGTGTGCAGAGTGAACATGGGCCAGGTCCCATTGCTCTACCCAACAGTGGTCCCTATCAGGTACGATCGTGGAACCACCATATTCGAGATTCCAGCCATATTTTATTCTATTTCATCGAGTGTATAAATATTTTAATGTGTTCTTTTTTTCCCGTTTTTCTTGACGACGTTACGACAGGTGAGGGGAAATAGTGGATTTGGTGTCGATCTGCATGGTGTTCAGGGTGAACACGGTTCAGGACCCATAGTTCTTAGCAGTAGCTCATATGAGGTAAAATATACTTACTTTCACAATTTTCATTTCATTTCTCTTGCTTTATTCGTGCCTGAATTTTACAGTGAGCATCAACCTTTTGTTGTATCATTGTACAGTATTTTTACTTCTCTCGAATTTTTTCTGCACCTAATCGGATATTTTTCAGACTAGTATTGGATTCATAATACATTAAATGGTACTGTCATATTTTTTCAGTGCAATGAAATAAGAAATAATCAGATTTATTTTGAGTCTTTCATGTTTCGATACATACGTTTGTATGTATATTTACTTTATGTCAATTAAAAAGTAACAAAATTATAGGGTTTAGATATTGTTGTATGTCATGTAGTATAGCATTTTGTATGATTTCTCAAATATCCAACCTTAGTATTTAGATTCTTATTTTTGTAACTTTTTTACATATTTTATTTGTATTTACTGTCATATTAAATGAATATTTTAGGCCAACGTTGATCGTAGAGAAGAAAAACATTTTGAGGAAACTGGTGGACCAAGTCATGGCAAACGCCATCGTCAACGAGCAAGTCCTCATAGGTAATAAAATATTCAATTAGTAAATATTTTTAGGTTAATAATATGAATATAGCATTTTAACATTTGAATTTTTTACTTTTTAGTAGTTGTATTGGTAGGACTTCACGTACAAAGCGTGACCGGGAAAGAGACAGAGGTAGGGAGAGAGAACGTGAGCGAGAACGTGAGAGGCAGGCAACTCCTCCAACTGCTTCCTGTAGCGGTCTACAAGGTAAATCTCTCCATCTTGGATGTTCATCGCAATAATGGTACCGCAAAGAGAAAGAATTACAAACATCATCCCCCTGAAAACTCTTCAGAACCCTACTGTGAAATTTCATCTAGGATTTATGTGTTACTAGGTACAGATAGCACTGTTATAAGTAACAGTCGCATGAGCATTGTGACAAATACTACAAATAGTGAGCATGAATTGGCAAATGGCTATAATAGTGGTGATGAATATACTGGTCGCACTGGAAACAATCTAACATTGGCTGAATGGCAGGAGGTCTGTATTAGTTATAAATCACAAGCTTCTTCCTTCATTTTTATCATACTTAAATTCAATTGTATTTTAGCGCGATCGATGGTTTGAGAAGCGAATGCGGAAAATGGGGTTTATAGTTAAGAAAATGGGGGAGGATGGTGCGTGCCTATTTCGCGCGGTAGCAGATCAAGTATACGGCGATCAAGAAATGCATGGAGTTGTGCGGAAACACTGTATGGATTATATTGTACGTAACGAAATGTGCTTATATTTACTGTTTCATTAGAAATATGAGATCGTCTTGAAAACGTGTTTCGGATTTTATTTCAGGCTGCCAACCAGGAGTTTTTCTCTCATTTTGTGGCTGAGGATTTTAGCACATACGTAGATCGAAAGAGGCAGGAATATGTTCACGGAAATCATATAGAAATGCAAGCCATGTCAGAAATGTACAATCGCAGTGTCGAGCTCTTTTGTTACAGTACCGGTACTGTTTTCTTACATAATAACTGATCTCTGTAATGAATCTAGGTAGTGCAATTAAAATTTTTTTTTTAACGGTTTACAGAACCCATAAATATTTTCCACGGTGTCCTGAAAAGTGACAACGAGCCAATACGATTGTCTTATCAACGAGGTAGTCACTACAACAGCATAGTGGACCCGTACAAAGCCACTATTGGTGTAGGATTAGGTCTACCGTCTTTTAATCCTGGTTCTGCTGATCGTGAACTTATATCTGATGCAGTGCGTCAAAGTGAGGAATTACATATCGAACAGGTAAATTTATCGAATAATTAGTACGCTTCTACTGTATTTTGTGGTTAATATTACAAAATCTTACTGTTTGTTGAAATAGACTATGCTAGAGGATAAAATAAAAGCCACAGACTGGGAAGCCACCAACGAGGCGATAGAGGAACAGGTTGCTAGAGAAAGTTATTTGCAATGGCTGCGCGATAATGAAATGCGAAAAGCTGTAAATAATAATTCATCATTATCTGGTCACCCCATGTCTAATGACACGATATTAATGAATTCCTATTTTTTTTTGTTTTTAATTAAAGCGGTCAACTAGTAGTAGCAGTACAAGTACGGTAACCAGTGCCCAGCACAGTCACACTCATTTTCATTCTCATGGAGGTCGTACGCAACAACGTGGGCATGCATCATCTCCAACGGCAACTCAAGCGAGCCAGGATGCTCTGCGCAATTCTCCAAAGGTCAGTTCCCATTTCCATGTAAGCTTGTAACATTATTCAAAGATGCAATGTTCTTTTAATCAGGCGAGCGACTCTGTGCGGAATAGCAAAAGGTCCCCGCAGCATCAGACGCAAACTTCTGGAAATGTTGATCATCTGTCTTCTGAGTTTGAGCCCAAATTGATACCTCAGGAGCCCGTACCAGGTAGCAGCAAGGAGTCCCACACATCTCCTGACATTTCGCTGTTCAACCGCCTTCCACCTGAAGTATTTGGTGAGATCATTTTGAAGTCATGGACGATAGTAAGCGACCTTGGCGGTGAGCACCCAACTGACCGACCTAGTGATTGGTTCTAGGCTTCCTTCTTCTCATCGTTACCAATAACACGACCTTAATATTTTAGCAAATTCAAGTAATAATCACCGCTCGATATTAACTGATTTTTACAGGATTGACCGACTGGGAGGATAGCGACATACTGTCTCAAGTACTTGCTACTTCACAACAGGAGTACTTGGACAGCTTGAAGCAATCGCGTACCTCAACTAGCACCGGAACCGACGCTAATAATATGAACAACAGTCTCATCAATAACAGCATCAATACGAATACCAATACTACTACTACCAATATAATAGAATCTAATAACAGTTAATTCGTAGGGAGCAATCGTTATCCTTAAAGTTCAAAAGAGATCAGAGCAAAGAATATACATTTCTATATTGCAGTATCGTCTATTGTATCCCATTGTACTAGGGCCGAAGGTGGTTTAGCTTTTCTATCTCACTGTCTGTCTGCTTCTATTTCTATCTCACACTTTACTCCGTTTCTTATTGCGTAACCCTCGTGCAATAGAATATTCATTTACATCGATTTGCGTAATGCGAACAATTTACGTACAGCTATAAATACAATCATAAATGAAATCATAGTTCAGGCCGGAAACACCTTATTATTCTTTTTAAATTCTATCATGCGTACCTTTTTTAAATTATCATTTCTTTTAGTTATCTCTTATCCTTTCGTTCATCTCGAAGCTTATGGAATCATCTGCTATGATAAGCACGTTAGAGATTCTTTACTTGTCAAGAATAACTATTTTCATATTCTTGCCGCTGCTACCATTGACACAGCGTCATATCGTAGTATTTACGATCTTGCAATTCGCCTATGTAATTTTACCCCTACCACCTTCAATCGTGGCCCTTATTCTTTTAGGCAAACGTAGTTTACAACAGGCCGTGACGGGCATAAATATTTATTTCTTTTATAATCTTAATTGTTTCTTTCTTGATATAACATCATAGATCAAATGCTTTAGAAGAAACTTGGTTGCATTATTTGTAACAAAATAAATAAATAAAAAAAGTATAACATCTAACAACGTTTGTAGACTTAGAGATGTTTTCTAGTTTAACAAATATAATACTCATCATAAAAATGATTGTTTTACAGAGTTTATAAAAGTACAGCTAATGTCTTTTGTATTGTGTTCTCATTATGTACTTATAAATCTGTCATAATACCCTTGGTCTGTTTTCATCTTTCATCAAAAGTTTGGCACATAAGATCAAGATAATCACTAGAGTCACGCGCTGTATTGTATTCACACTACAGGAAATTGTTTTAGAATCCCATGTGTCGGGGTGTACTGTAATCACTTTTCAGTATATGAAACATTACAAAATACATTGGATAACAAATCCATCTATAGCTTAACATTTGTGATTCCAGTGACCATATTTCTTTATACAAATGTATTTTGATTACCATTCTATGTCACTGAGAAGGTTATCTATAAAAAGCATTGAAATTTATAGCATATCAAAAACTCCAAAACTTCTATGCCGATCCCAGCATATCTTTCATGTTCACTGTACCCACTAGCTGTCAGACATAATGTACCATATGGCTGTCCTCTTTGCAAGTACCTCCATGGTGTTTATGCTAACTCACACGACGAACGGTGATCCTTTCGTTTATCGTGATCGTCATTTGTGATTCGCGGTAAGTCTAAGTTTTTTTTCGTATACTGAAATCGTCGCAACAATTGAAACTAGCACTGTAGTTTGACTTAAGTGGATCAATTTATAAATGCGAAAAAAGAAGAGATCGAAGAAAAAATTAGTTAATAAAACTAATCAGACCATGAAAACATATACAGTCTTGGGGATACAATAGGGATATCTCGAGAACCGTCATATGCTGTTCTGGTTACCTCTATGCAATAACTATATTCGTAATCTATACGAAGTTATCAAAAATAAAAATGTTAATTAAACAATATTTGATCTCAGCAATTTACAATTCATAACGTCTCATTATAGGATTAAAATTTCATGTGTGATTTAAAATTAATATATATTGTCGACAGTCCAGACTGTTAGGCAATGCACTGGTACAAATTGTTTCTATCATCCAGCTGCTAACTTTAAATTTCTGAACAAATTAAACTTCTATTTGTTGATAAACACAAATTCAATGTCAAAGCAATCGATATTTAACAAAGATCATAGGTGTCAATGAAGTATCACCACTTAAGATAACATTAAAATCAAGCAAAATGTCACTGTGTGCTAGAGATTTTAGGTTCGAAATAATCCTAGGAAAAGGAACATTTGGGTGAGTATATAAAAGAAAAGAAAAATAATGAAAACTCCAAGAAATTAACGATAAATTTCGCTCTGTAAACTAAGTGAAAATTGGTACCATTGACAGAGCTGTTTACTTAGTAAGAAAACGAAGCAACGGTAAACCATTTGTTATAAAGGAACAACATTTGACAGCATCGGGTACTCTGACGTCCCAGGTAAAGTAATCATATCATTTTAAGAGAAAAAAATTCCATTTTATCCAATCAAAATTCGAATTTCGGTCTATGTGGTGATTAAGATGATTTTGGGGGAAGTGGAGTGTCTTAAGAGAATGAGACATCCAAACATAGTGAATTATCATGGAGCTTGGAGGGAAAATAACAGGAGTTACATTCTGATGGAGTACGCCACGCGTGGTACGCTTAAAGATCTATTGAACAAGCGTAAGCAGCCACTCAAGGAACAAGTACGAGAAAAACAATATATTTAATATACAATTCCGGTAGAATAACTTTTTATAACGCATACGTTTTCAGGATGCGCTTTATCTTTTCTCTCAAATTACGCTGGGAGTCCATCATATACACTCCAAGCAAATACTGCACAGGGATCTTAAACCTGAAAACATAATGCTTACCGGTCGCTATGGGGATATCATAAAGATCGGTGACTTTGGAGTTTCCAGGAACGTCCACGAGTACGCATTATCTCTTAACTTTTATCATTTCAGCTTGATCTCTTGCAAATATTTGACTATACATTTGCAGAGAGCCGTTAACGCATCGTATCGGCACGTTCCACTATATGGCACCGGAAATGCTCAAACGTGAACCCTATAACCTCAAATGCGACATTTGGAGTATGGGCGTGGTACTTTATCAGATGATCGCAAACCATCTTCCGTTTCCAGCAACGGTATATGAATTTATATGAGTAAGACTATGATCACCGTTACGAAGAAGAAGAAGAATCTTTAAATCTTCATGTGTTTTTTCTTCTTTAACCAGACAGTGAAGGATATAATCAAAATAACGTGTACGGAGAAACCACGACCAATCGTTGCAAGGACTTCAGCAAGTACGGTTACTTTGATATCTAAAATGTTAAAGAAAGAAGCTTATTATCGTCCACGGACCAGCCAATTGTTAATGTGTCCTTATCTGGTGCCGAGCATTGCTCGCGTTTACTTAAATTTAGGTAGACAGGTTGAGATGATTAGTAAGCACGAAACGAATTTCTCTCTTGATGTTTTTACAGGATTTTTAAAATCTTTAAGGTAATATTATAATTTAAGTAGTGTACTATTATAATTCAGTTGCGGAAGTGTCGTCAAACCATGCTGTATTTCATTGGAATTTCCGGTTGCTGTTAGAATCAGAATTTGCCTGCATACATACATATGTATATACTGTATAAAACACATGGAATGAATTTCACAACATAATAGAACGATAGACCATTTCACCAATCACTAATCCACGTCGTCATGCAATAATGCTTGAATGAGTCAGCAGCAACCTTGTCAAAGAAATGCTTCATTGTTCAAGAGTCGACTCGATTTCACTGTGTATTAAACAATACTCTTTTTCTATTGATTACATATCATGGTACCATTTGAGTACGAACTTAATCCAATTACAAGTCAGTCTCCGTAGAGATAGTCTTGAATTTCCATACCAAGATTTCGTTGATAATGGCGACAGTGAGTAAAAGCTAAGGAAAACTCATAGGCAAGTGATTACCTAGAGTCACAAGATACTAGAATATAGTAGAAAAATTGAAATTGCAGAAAATAATCAAAAATCGTGGAACTGCAGTTGAAGCTGTAACGGGTAATATGTGTCTGTCGGTATCGGTGATTCTGGAGGACAAAGGATTGAATCTGCACAATGATGCTGACACAGAGGAATGGATAAGCATCGCCTGGCATGTTTGACGATTCGCGAGATACGTGGTGCGACGTATTATGCTGTCGTGAAACGGGTATCGAACCTGAACACCAAGCGTGACCGACCGGAAACTGAAACCGGAACTATAGAGAACCTATTTCAATTCATTCTACTCCTAGTGCTCCAGTGACAATCGTTCAGTTCACACTTCGTACTCAGTCGAGACTGGTATTTTGGTTTCACGTAATGCGGGATTTCGTTTGCCGTAAAATTATTTCATATACAGAGTTGGAAGTGGAAATTAAATTTTAGTGTTGACGTAGATTTTACTAAAATTAAAGAATGTATTGGCTGTTGGTGATGTTATGGTTTTTGGAAACGAGAGGAGCCACTTTGTATAACGGAGGCCCAATATTGGGGGAACAGATCGATCTAGTTGACGTTCCGGAAGATATTCAGACCGGCACCCCTCTACCGGATTGGCTTGGATCTACTCCGGATCGAGATGCAGATCATTCCAATCCCAGTAGTCCTGTAGGTCCATTGGATGCTATTAGTCCTGATGCACCCGAGGATCGGAGTGGTATTGATTTTAGAGAACGGGAACCTTTGGATGAGATAGAACATATAGAACCTAAACAATGGTCTGATAGACCAGATATAGTTCCCACTAGAGGCACGTTTCCGTCCTCTACTCAATCTACCCCAAGGAGAGTTCCTGATCCCACTACACTTGCACAGAAAAATCCTTCAACTCAGAGGTATCTAGAAAGATATATAAATTTTAGAGTGAATCCGAGTTCCTAGAATTTATTTAACCTCATAGATATCCTGTGGTCACAATACCGCCACCCACCGCCACTGTGGATGAAGTCTTTTGCGATTTTGGTCCATTACCGGTACAATCTCTTTGCGAATGGCAAAATGGCAAAGGTGCTCTAGAATGGGTTCCAGGTACAGGATTGGGTACGAATTGGCTAGGAGGGCCATCTACGGATTCAACGGCAGGAACAATAGAGGGCGGGTATAGTTTGAACACCATAAATATCATTTCATGAAAAATGTCCCTTGATGATTGGTAAATATTTATTGAATCTTTAACATAGTTACGCTTTCATCGAAACCTCTCAATTACCTGCAAAGGATTTGAAAACTAAAAGTCCTGGTGGTCTACTGCACAGTCCTCAGTTGGGAAGCACCGGTGTCTCTGGAACTTGTTTTATGTTTAAATATGCAATGGATGGACTCAGTTCAGCAGGACTCAGAGTACTGCTTCATACGGGGGTGGATGAGAATTCCATAAAGAAAGAGCGACCCGAAGAATCGCCTATAGAAAATGCCACAAACATTTCCAATTGCAATCCGCCAACCGCACTGAGCGAAGAACGTGTTCTATGGCACGCACAATACTATATGCTGGGCACTTGGCAACAGGCCCAGATTCTCTACACCTATCCAGATATACACTCGGTAAGCTAAAGAAAGTAAAAAAAAAATAGTAAATCGTATCACTCTAACCTATCACTCGTTATACTATTGAATCATCAGCTAATCATCGAAGGAGTTCCAGTTGACGTGGGGGATCCTTCCCGTCTCTACAGAGGATATATAGCCATTGATGATATAGATCTTCAGCCTGGAGCCGCTTGTACGGGCTTCTGTAATTTCGCTGGTGGCTTCTGCGACTGGAACAATGACGTCGACGATGATTTTGATTGGACCATCGTGAGTAAACATAGGAGAATGCTAATTAGTTTTTAAATAAGAGTCGTGATGTTGATTCGATCCAGAGTCGTGGCAGCGGAAATCCAACGACCGGACCAGCTATGGATAGCTCCAGTGACCGTGCAACTGCTGGAGGCTATGCTTTCATAGATTCTAGTTTCCCAAGACGGCCTGGCGATGTAGCCAAGCTTATCAGCACAAGTTTCCCGGCTACTGGGCCCGACACTCCTATGTGCATGCACTTTTGGTTTCACATGTTCGGCTCCGGAATTGGAACATTAAAGATCTACGTTAGACACTTTCGCAGTTTGGATGCGCAACTTCATGATATTTGGGGTCTTAGCGGTAACGCTGGAAATGCGTGGTTCATGTCGGAAGTCACTGTTAGTTCTTTGGATGACTTTCAACTCATCTTTGAAGCATCGGTTGGTAATACAGGAATGGGTGATATAGCTATTGATGATATTACATTTACCCAAGGAGTGTGTCCAGGTAAATTCACTTTTAATCACTGTAGCTGCTTGCTTGAAAACAGAATTATGAATTGTTTCTCTTTTGCTTTTCAAGTCTCACCACAAGTTGCCGCACCGATAATCAGGGATTGTACTTTTGAAGTGGATGAGTGCGATTGGATCAATTCTAGGGATCCAGATCGTGTGGAATGGGAAAGGGTGGCCAGTCAGGTTTTAAGTCCTAGAAATCAAAGAAAACCGTACAGCAATGGACATACGGTTAGTCGACGCAATGAATACTTTCTGGGATTAGGTCGCGCTCGTGGTGGACCAAGGAGTAACAGTGGAGGAACCGCACAATTAGTTAGTCGTGAAACGAAAGGATCCAATGAACCAATGTGCATTACTTTCTGGTATTTCATGTTTGAGGCGTTTATTGATTCAACAGGACCAAGTTTAGGTCGGAATACAAATTTTTGAAATATACTAATACGAGCCTAACGTATATACTAACGTGAGCTTCGCCACTTGATAGGTGTACTTCGAGTATTCGTACAACCTGTCGGTGAGACTTTAATTGGTTCTAAGCCGATCTGGCAATTATACAACAACCAAGGTCCCACGTGGAATTACGGGCAGGCGAATATCAATGAAAGAAGAAACTTTAATGTTGTCTTTGAAGGTACCTGGGGTCCCAATAGAGCCAGTGGTAGTATTGGAATTGATGATATAGCCTTCTATACTGGCAATTGTACTGGTAAGTGAAATTGTCAATTGTCCCAATGATTTTGTTGAGTCAATCATTATTTTGCAGTGCGACCAATCAGCGCAATGGTCAAAGCGGAAGATTGTAGTTTCGAAAAAGGACTGTGCGGTTGGGAAAATATAACCTCTATAGGAAGCGATCGTACTGTGACATGGCAGCAAGCATTTGCAGCACACAGACCAGCTCAGCTATTGGATAAAACGTTTGGAGCCACTGGAGATTTTGTATTTTTTGATATCTTTACGAATAATCAAAAATTGTCAGAGGTTCAATTACGTTCTCCAGTAATTGGTGTCTCGCCGGATACGGAAGCAATCTGTTTCACATTTTGGTTCGCTGCTTTTGGTGTTGAGGAATCTACGACTTTACGCATCATCAAAATTGGAGTCGATGACGGCGCAAATGAAAATAAAAACGGCAATGCCAATGGAAATGGCGATTCAGAGAGGGAACTGGTAGAGCTAATAACGGAATATAGCATGATTCATTCAAATATGATTTCAATGTTTCTACAGCTGTATGTATTTCGTTTCAGCTGTGGTCATTGACGGCTAAAGGTTTCAACAATCCTAGGCCGGTGTGGACAGCAGCTCAAGTTACTATAGAAGCCAGAGCACCGTATCGTTTGATTTTGGAAGGAAGTGCCAGTAATGGAGGTTTTGCCATAGACGATATCAAATTCCAGTCGCAAGCATGCCCAAGTGAGTCAGAGATTCGGTTATATCACTTTTCTAGCGTCACTTAGCTGATTGCATTGATTTAATGGATAACTGACAAGATTTTTTTTTCTTTTAAAACAGATTTGGCAATATTTTTTTGTGTGATACATATTATTTTACATACTAACATAATGCAATTATTTATCAATTGCATTTTTTCAGTTCGACCTGTCGCTGCTCAACCGGTTGCCAGTAATTCGTAATATTAGTCAAAACATCCAAGATACATATATTAAGGGGACTGGGAACTTCGTATTATCATATGGGTAAAATGTGAGCAAAAATCCTACATATGATATTGATGGAAATTTTTTTTCAACCCGGCGCTAGTCATCTGCTATTTTCAAACAATTTTGGTAATTAAACCAGAAAATACAATATTGCATATAACATGTATGTTAGTTGTAATTTCCCATTCATTTTCATAATGTCAATATAACAGTGCTGTTATAATGGCGTTATGTATTTGAATGCAAAATTACACTGACATGTAATATTTTGTTTGCTGAGTATTCCCCCGGATTAAATTTTTGAGTCCAGTTTTCAATAAACGCAGATATATTTTGGGTTTTCTTATTATAGCTTTAGTGAAGTCCATACTGCACATTGATTGTGTCGTTTAACTTAATAATGACATATGGGCTTGTCAGATACGGGATCATAATTTATGTCGATACTTTAGTGGCATATTGAAATCGGACGCTGAAGTAACTTTATTACTCCAAGATGACTAACAATGGATTACGCGAAATTGAGAACATATTCTGCAAGGCGCATTTTGACCCTACGTTTGCAACTATTCATCTAAAACTGAGCGAGACGTCTGATCCGAAAATGTTCATCTGTGTCAAGTTCAATGTCGAGTTGGATCCACTGTTTCCATTAGTTTTTGCTTAATCATTGCAAAGTGGCACCAAAATGATTGTTAATAGAAAATGTGTCAGCCACTCCGCTTAGGGAAAGAATTTCCATAAAAATTGTGTTATTTCCAATTTTCGTGACCAAAAACTGTACACTGCCATTCATGCTCTTCTTCCTCTTGTGGCATTTTTAATTGACACAATTCTCTTATAGCAGGTATAAAGCTTAGTTTTGCATAAGTGCGACCCTTCACTACATCACATTTGCAGTAGTTTTGAAATTTATCATTGGTACTGCACCAACATGGCCGTGTCTCGTTTAGTTGCATGCAGATAAATATTAATACACTGATGCTCGCAGTATCGGCTGTAAGTTCCGTGCCTTTGATGACTATAGAAAAATTTTCCAATTAAAAGCGTATCAGATTACACGTTACACAAAGCAAGAAATTCTGTCAATCCAAAATGCTAATAAGATGTGTACAACAAATGTTTTTTATGTTAATTATAACGCCACCTGTAATATATGTATAATCAATAAAACTACGAATAGTGATCACATCTCAATCTCTAAAGATATTTGGGCTAAACTGCAAAATACGACTCTTTCTTGAAGTTAGCTGTGGATTATTTAATTTTTGTTGCATAAGGATCATTAAGGACCTTCAAGAAGGAGTTGTATTCTGCAGTTTTACTTTTATTTTTATTAATGTGAATTACCACTACAAATAATGATATATAAAAATAGTACTAAATTATTAAAATTAATATTGAAACCTATGATTGGATGGCAATACAGACAGAGATGATAGAGACGTGCTGCCATCTGCTATTCTGTACTTACAGAGATGAGTTACTTAGAAAGGGTGTTATCAGGGATAGGTATGTTCAGAAACCTCTCTAGATTCGATTCTGGGTGTCAATCTATTCTTTTCAGAATAACGATAATAAAAAGAGAGGCAACTCGCTCGAATTACCCTGAGTACTGGCACATCTCATTGGAGGAGTCAGCTATAAGGAAAGGAAGGAATTACCCTGAGTAAGATTTCTGAACGCACCGTTGTTGTCTAGTTCAACAGTAAAAAAACTGTCAAATTGTGTTGAACGTCATTTTACAAAAACGTGCGATGTCAGCTGCAGAAAGATCCTGAACCATGTACTAAGCGTCAAATATCTGTTTTAAAAAAAAATGGACGCTGAAGAAGGGGAATTTTCTTCAAGACCAAACATTACAGTTAAAAATGAGAAGCCTACTGTAAATCTTGATTACGACGAAGACAGAGTAAGGTTAGATTATCTAGACAGCAAAAAATTTTACTTAAATTTACATATCATAATGATATTGTAGCTACATGAGATGACAGCGTCTTACTCAGAAATATCATTCGATTCACAATCATCACCTCCGATATCAGAATTACGCTCTCTAGTTGAATCACCAGATTTGGATGATGACAAATTTTTGGGAGATGCCCTAGAGAAAATAGATAGTGGGGGCAACAGGCCTGATCGACTTGATTTAAGAAGTGGTGGAGCTAGTCCTGATGAAGATGAGGATTTGGATCCCCCAAGTTATCACAAAGCAATTGGATATCTTCAGTTAGAAGGGACTGTTATGCAGGATGGAGATATGGTCCTATTTGTCGCTGAAGATTTGGAGAATAAAATCAAATTATCTAGTCCAGTTACAAAGAAAGGAGAAACTCCATCTTTTCCTGGATCTCGGAGTTCAACACCCTGTCTTTATAGACAAGCATTGACACCACAGCTTCCCCTACTTGATCATAATGTTTTGAATGAACTTGAAATGGAAGCTAGAAAAATAGCTACCTCCGTAGATTCATTGACTGAGAATCTTGCTGCTATTCTACACAGTGTACGTACGGACCCATTATATTTTTGTATTTTTTAAGAGGTATAATCTTTATAAAATTATTCTACAGGCTTCTGCCCTAACAGTGGGCTGTTTGGAAACTTATAGAGATGCAGTATGTAAAACATGTGATGCTGTGGATAATAATATAAAGTCAATGTATCAACTCATGGCAAAGAGCGAAGAACTATCAAAGTCTATGGGTCCAATATACAAGCTGGCAGAACAAATGTGAGTATCAAAATAATTAAAAGAAAACAATATTTATCTTTTATCTCATGGCGATAGAAATATAATTCAATTAGCACTTTACTATTTTCATACATACATTTTCATTTTTTGTTTATTATCTATCTTCGTTTGTCGAATAAGAAACAAAAGTCATGTGCAAAGGGTCACATATCCCTAACGATTCCTTTTCTGCAGTCATGTAGGCAGTTCTAATTACCTTAAGTAAAATACTTAATTTATTGAGACTATATTACATGTACTAAGTTAAAAGTTATATCGAATTCACTTCTTTAAACGTAGACACCACTTGTTAATTCCAGGTTTAAAATTACACTTAGTTACTTCCAGGACCATGTAGAAACTTTTCTAAAATGTTCTCTTTATCTTGATCTTTATCTTCATCCACCGCGGTAAAAGAGTTAATTGCAACTCCCGAGGGGGATCTGTCGTCTACCGCCTATCCTCCTCTTTCCACTGTTGCCTGAATCTCTTAAGATTCTCTGTAATTGTGAAAAACTAACATTTTAGTTGATTTCGTTAGAAGACCATGAATATTCGAATAGGTCAAACAGTCTGCCTACTCTCTATGCATGGCGTACATGTATAACCATACTAGTCCACTCACTTTCCAGCAAAGAGATGAAGAGGATGCTGGAGCTGTTTGAAAGTGCAATGAATCTGTAAGCACAGGAAAGGTAGTAAAACTACTCTTATTTTTGTTTTATCTTTTTTCGTCTCTTCATTATTAGCCAAAAATTGAAAACATCCTATATTTTTTGTGATTAAACTAAAAATTGCATTAGTTAGATAAGGAGTCGGAGGGGAGCGGTGTGGCGCGCTTATTCATGATTGTGGTAATACATCAAATTTTGTAAAATATTTTGCTTAACTTGCTGTCCAGAACACCTCAATTCGGTAACTAATAAATATGATAATTACAGCGTAATGACCTTGCTGGAATATTCATGTTCATAAGAAATTGCTGGGTCGCCATTCCTCTTTTGCTATCTATCTCGTGAAATTTCACACTGTTACGAAATAGTTCCCGGACAACAATTTTGAAGTAGAGAAACACGAAACGAAAGGGATGTGAATTCAATTTGTAAGAGGCTTATCGGCAGAATTTTTACTTGTGAGACTATTGATAATCCCAAGGTTCTCTTCAGCTATTATTTTAATTCGCTTTTTTGTAATGTCGCATTAGATACGCATATGTTTGTGGAAGTTTATTAGTACAATACACTTTAACATTTGGCATTTGAATTGTTGATACTCCAGAAGTAATGAAATTAAGGATTGTTCACACGGGAGCTCTGGTGACGCCTATGCATTTCTCATGTAGCATCTTGGATATGCATAGACGTAATTACAGTCGTACGTGCGGTCCTCTGAATTTTTATTCGTGACCTTTTAGGAGAAAAAACTTGTATAATAATTAACCGTGCATATGCAAGAAGTTTAGAGCGCTGTAAACACATCCCTTTCGGCTCGTTACTGCTATTTACTGCAGGACGGAAATTGATCTTCTTTTATTAAAAATCGTATTCCCACTATTCATTCTGTTGGTTGTCTATAGGCATTTAAATACGTGTATATGCTTCAATTATTTAAACGAGATTTTTTCTTGTACTGAATTTGATATTGTAAATAAAAGTTTACTCGCAAAGCGAAGTGCACATGCATAATTCTATTGCTCTCCAAATATAGTCCTACGGTCCAGTGGCAGCATCCAAATGCATCACTTGTTTCATTTCCTTCCAGAATATCATGATGGTACTCCGGTTACCAAAAATTCGAAACAAATCCCTTCTCACGAGAATGGCGAGAAAAAAAAATTGAACAACGAAGCAAACATCCAATACCGTTAATCTATCGATTAAAGATTTTTAAGCGACATACAGAACTTTGAAAAGTTTGCCAACTACGTAGATAGATACTCGTGCGACACATTGTATGAATTTGTGCTACGTGTACAGCGTATCGAGTTTAACAGGGAGACAATGCTAGACACGCTCGGGGCAATTGTCAAAAATTGGATAATGAAACCGACGCGTGCGTGACCGAGCGTCTAACTCGTGTGGGGACTTCTCAATGGGCGTTTATTACGCTAGAGTCTGCCGGCGCATTGAGAGTCAATATATCCATATATATCCGTAGAAATTACACATGAAGAGACGATGTGTAGAAGAAAACAACGGATCGCCCATAGTTGGATGGATTCCATTTCAGGATGAATTATCATAAGACGCGCCACCGATACAGTCCTACAGAATCCAATGGCTCCTCCTTTGCGTCACCCTGAATAATGCACGAGAAAATGGAGGAACTTTGGTGTCCTATCTGGAGGATTCCTCCCTTACGGCGATAGACGATAAGAACTTTCGGAAACTCGTCACCCGACTTCTACTGCGTTATTATCATATAAGGATATGTCTTCGCTGAGCATTAAAATACTGGTTCTGATCCTTCGTCGTATTTTTACATGAGAAAGCGGTATATGTATAAATTTGAGTCTCTGAGTGAATTCCTAAAGAGTTGCGATATAAACATACATATAGTAAGAAGGTCAATTAAGGGTACTATGGTTTTATTGACATCCGTTGATTATACGCATGGGAGACTTGCGTGCGGCGAGAAATAGAAGTCGCAGATTTATTTGTACTTTCCATAACGAAATTAGCTGGTGACCCAATTGAGGTGAATGTCGATCGATATATACAGGGTTATTCACGGCAAACGCACCAGCTGAAATTGGCCGTGACGGGTGATTTCATAAATCAGAGCATGGTGGCATCATTAAAGAAATGAAAGTTAACTTCATAATATTGCTAAGACTATTGAATTTTACATTTCTTCATTTGTTTAACAAGACCACACTGCCTCCATTAACAGAACTGTTCAGTTGCGTCCAACTTCAGCCAGTGCGTTTGCCGTGAATAACTCTGTATACATATAAAAGGATGGCATGGCGTAGTGTCGATGTCGTGGGTGTTGTTAGTCCGTTAAATGTTGTTAAATAAAGTCAGCGCGCAATCAGATGTGGTAACACGCACATGCTATCGGGGCCATTGAAGCACGGTTAGAATGTACTAAAGCGGTCACTCGTCGGTAACCCACGAGACCCAAGTGCGAAAGGTCACGATTAACCCGCTAACAAGAAACCCCTTACGAAAATCGACTTATGTAAATTCGCGAGCACGATCTTGCCTATGTATCTGCTTAGTTTAACGCTTGCAATAAAGTAGTTCATGGCACGTCACTCCTGCTTAGTAATCGGTCTATCAAAGCGGCACTTTTGCTCTTTGATCTATGCAGACTGGGTATATACGTATAGACATCCATGACAGAATAACAAATGCGTATTCCTACCTCAGGCCACCCTTTCTCCCCCTCCATCAGTACTTTATTTCTATTTGAGTATTATCGATGATGTCTGAAGAATCTTTGAACTGACTGAATGGGTTCAAAATTACTTAAATGGATGTGAAGTTTTCGTGATTTCTAATTAAATATATCGCGGATTATTGGTAAATCAGAACCGTTGCACGAGCATTGCATAGTAACCTTTGCTATTGGAATGTCCTATGTAGGGAATAATCCCACAAAAGAATTCAGAATTTAATGGCAGGTTACGGCCGGTAAATATTTGTATATTACAATTTTTCGCGACTCAACTCGAGTCTACATCCAATGACGAACCATTGAACTGATGCCATAAGAAGAATTAGGAATGAAACACGTATCCCGCGGTATTATTCCCGTCTCTGGGATCTACTTTGTAACCGAAGACTGGGACGACGGCAGCCTCATGTGTCTCATGGGGAAGTAGATATCGTGTTCCAGGATGTGTGCATTAGAAGCACCAACTCCCTGGCCACCCATATTCAGGCGCAAGAAGTAAATGCAATCTAGCCATAAGCGTAGACTCTAGGAGGAGGAGGAGGAGGAGCAGCGGAGGGGGTTGCTGTTGTGGAGTAGGTTTAACTTCAACGAATGAACAAAGGCTCGTATGCCATATGCACATATGAACTTACATGTATATATTGTATGTCTCACATGGCACTTTGGAGCTGTATGCGGAGCAAAATAAAGCGCTGGCGTTCCCTCACACCATCTGCGTGACCGAAGCAAATCCTGTATAGAGGAATTCTTTAGTTGTCTCAAAGCGTCGCGACGTCTGAATTTCATCGGACGTACAGAGGTCAAGAGAATGTCTATATGGCTAGTGATAGAGTTGCTATAGTTCAAGGCAGTCCAGTCATCTTCAAGAAGAATTTGCATTACAAAGCAGTCTTATTCTTAGTTATGGAGTTCTTTTTAATAAGAGCCCGAATGACCGAATGTCCAGCACTTCGATCGGTTCTTTAAATATTTTTCATTGTACCGCGTTCTTAAGATTTATTATACTATTACGTAGAAACGGATTGTGAAGTTGAAAGACGCGAGGGACTGTGAGATTGTTGGTATAGAAATTAAAAATATTCCCGTGATAAATATGGTTTATATTGCAAATATTTATAAATGCATTTATATTTAGCGTAACCTATCGATGTATGGCAATATATACAGTTATATGCATCGAAAGTGTCTCTCAACAGCCTGGCTCGTTTAATACATTCGACCGGTGTAATTATTAAAGCCTGATGATTTTAATTCAGGAAAAAAGTGGCGATAGCGAACAAACACCTCGTTAATTCATACTCGTCTGGCCCATTGAAACGGTACACGGCATAGCCGGTTCTGTATACTATATAGAACTATAGTAGATAGATTTATGTACGTACATAGACGGCGCGGCGCGGAGGACACAGTCGGCGGCTGCTGCATGGCCGCATCAAAACAGGACTGCGGTGCGTTTGCTTTTGTGCGTTTTATTCCTGCATTATGTGCGGGGCATTGAAAGTAATTTCAATGTCCCCGCCATGCAGACAGTGGCCATTGACTATTGTTGCTGGAGGATGAGTGCTAAACCTACGGCTGATATTAGAGTTATTTATTATTGCCAGTGGCATTACTGGTGCGTCATCAGGTTTCAGATTCTTTTCCGGTATTCCTTCTCTTCGTTTATCTACTTCTCTCTTTCTCTTTATCGCTATCTCGCTCTCTCTACGTATAGATTTATGCGCGCATTCTCTATATGTCTAGCTGCCTGCCGCAGATACCATACGTCTACCGCAGGCTCGGCATTCACGCACGTGACACTTATTTTCTATCTCTTTTCTTCTATTTTTAGGCACGACCGCGGTACGCAAGTGCCTTATAGTTTCTATCGCGAAAAATGTGTGAGATGCAATATCTCACGCAATTTTCGGCCGATCGGGCTGAAATTTTGGGGGAGGTCTCCTCGCGTACAAACTAAAAAACTATTTTTTTTATCCCGATCCTCTACGTTGTTTTAAAATGGGAGCACAATTTGATCGATTTTACGATTTTTTCGTGTATTATTTAATAAAAATTTTCATGTTACACGATTATCTCTGAGAGACTTCAGTCAATCGGGCTAAAAATTTGTGTGGGGTCTCCTCTCATCACTAGAACCTTATGGTTCTATTTTGAACTTGATCCTGTACATATACGCAGAATGCGCGGTCACCTCCAAAAATCGCTAAAAACGGTTTTTTGTCTGTAACTCGAATTCTAAGCGTTCTACAAAAAAACGTTAAATGGAAAAGTTGCAGATCTTTCAAAAATACAACTTTTTCCTGTTGACATCAAATCATGAAAATGCTTTCTACTCAAGTTAGCAGCCCAAAATCAAGTTTTTACAACATTCATTTTTATTGAAGTTAAAGAATTTATCGGTTTAAATTGAATCTTTGTATTTGTATATATTCAATACATCATATAACTATGAAATATAAACGATTGTCCAATAATTAAGTACAATTGTAGAGAAATTTGGGCGAGCGCGAACGTCAGCGGTCGTGCCTTACACGCAAAATGCGAAGCGATGCAAGGCGGCAAGCCACTGCGGCCGGAAGGCCGCGTGTGGCGCGCTAGTTTAGAATTAAAAGTTGCTCTAAAATAATATTTAAATTTGGTCAGATTGTTAGAAACTGTTTAAATATCTGACATAATCCAGGTTATATGGTAATGAATAGTAACTGAAGAAGATATGCTATATTCTTACGGTCGAAGAGATTCCTCTGTGCAGATAAATTTAAGGTTGTGACAATATTTTTGTTTAAAAATAAATCTTTGTATTAATCAATATAAGAATTTTGAATTATTCATGTTTTTCTCAGAATTATAAAAATATAGTTAAAATTATAATTTTCGTATTCAATTAAACATAATTGAAGTAAGTTTTTTGACTTGAATGTCAGCCAAATACAAATTAATGCCAGATATAGGTATGTGCACAAACACATTGGTTATGCAAAACTAATAAAAATAAACGATGACATGTATTGATTAAACTTTGTTAATTCAGTAATATGTGAAAGCATAATAATTTATACTTTTCTAGGAAACATCTATGGGAAAAAAAGTTACACACATGGCTTTCTGAATTATATAATTTGCAGGTTAGATAGCTGAACAATTAGAATTTCCGTACAGATAAAGTTATTTCGAAATATTTGTTTTGAATACCACAATTTTCCTTTTGGAAGAGATAATTATCATCAATGTATGAGAGAAACTCGAGAATATACAATAAGAAAACGATGGGTCAAAGAAGAAAGTCAACACCTACGAACCTTCCCATAATTTCTTTGGGCTCATACTTGGCGTAAAAGCTTTTTGTTGCGTCTTTGTCTGGTAAAAGATCGCCGCTTTCGTCCTTCGCCATTTTCATTCTTTATTATTTCTCACGTGTATCTTAAATAAAGAAAACCTAGAATACAATCAGCTCATGGAAAAATAATTAACTCTACGCTTTTTCACGCAAGCACAAAACTATGTTTGACACAACATGACACATTATCACTGATTACCACGGTCTATGAATAGTTAAGATCCGAAGAGATCTGAAGATAGCGTATGAAAAGAGAATAATTCCTTCCTTCCTTTCCTTATGGCTGTATCCCCAATGGGGGACATGTGCCAGTAAGTGGTCCTGATAATCAAGGTTGGAAGTTCGACAATAGATAGCGATGTACCTTGCGAGACGGGCCTTATGCAACTCAGCGTGAGGGGACCTACAAAGTTTATACACCGAATCCGAACAGTGTTGGGCGAAATCCGTATAAATACACACTTAAGTTTTCATATGAAAACCCATTGAGGAATGCCGCTGGAAGTTGGGCGCGAACCTCCAACCTTTCGGTCGTGAATCCGCTACCCTATCCACTGGGCTACGGCCGCCCCCAGAGAATAATTCCTTCCTTCCTTTCCTTATGGCTGACTCCTCCAATGAGGAGATGTGCCAATCCCAGAGAATAATTGAGGAAGCCTAGTTCCGTATTCATAGCAGAGATGAGTAAGGAGATGCACAACGCTATAGTTTTAGACGATTCCAAAAACATTGCGCTGAACCGCAACGGCGAGTTCAGAAGTAGAATTTTGTGATCATCGCCTCCGTCGATAATGCGGATCCCGTCGTAGCCGAGCTGACCACGATCACGAACGTGTCGCTTGGCGAGCAGAGGCTCTCCGCTACAACCCGGTTGTTCCCAAAGCAACACTTACAACGAGGCAGCTCAGCGTCACTGGTCAATACCATTTAATTCATATACGTCATTGGTGCATATGCTGTGACTACTTGCACTATCAGAAGAATTCGGGAAACTGGACTTCTCATTGGTCAAAATCGTTTGTTAGGAAAGATTTGGCCAATAAGGAGGTTGATATTCCAGTTGTAGAAATCATCCGACAAAGCTACGTAGACGCCATCAGCAAAGATTACATAGAGTCCCACTAGAGGGATTCTAAGATTACGGAATTTGCCATGTTCAAATGTTATTCGAACTGAATTTGGCGGGAATCAGAAAACTAACTGTCGGCAACTGCCGGTTATTCAGGATTGCCTGTGGCAGCGTGGTGCGACTTGTTTTTGGTGAGAATTACGATTTGCTGCATTTATTTATTACAATGCATCAGCAAAAAGTTCTTTTATCGAAAGAGTCTAGCAATACTATCGATAGTCCTGAGGCTCTAGACATTGTAGAAGACTCGGGTTTTGGAAGTATTGCCGGTTCATTTGAAGGTATGATGGAATTCACTTTATTTAAATGAGAAGCAGTTTCCTAAAGGTCAAACGAAGTTTTCGAGAAGGAATAAAATGACTGAGTAATATTTTGATTGACTTTTTAATGGTATAATCTCTATTTATGATGTTCCTTGTACACTTATTTTATATTGTTATGGTCAATGTTGTACAACTTTATTTTGTTTAAAAAGTTTAATATTTTCCGTTAAAATAATATATGACACGTAATTTTGAAATTAATAGAAGGTTCAGTCAAGGATGAATCTATAAGCACAGTTTCGAGCAATGTTAATTTCAAGAGTATACCGATCGAAGAACAGAAACAAATGAAGAAAAGACAAAAAGTTGTTGACGAGCTTGAACTTGAACATAAGCTCATTGCTGAGAAGGAATATGAAGATCGACTAAGCGAGCAACGATACAAATGCTTAATGCATTTATTAGATCGTAGTCAGTTTTATTCAAATTATTTAATTAAGAAATTTGATGAGTCTCAGCCATTTGTGACCTCCGAAAAAGGAAAGAAACATCTACCAACGGTACCTGATGAGAATACTGAACCACAAAAAAAATCTAAAACAGTGAAAAAGAATTCTCAGAAATATGATATAGAGAAACATATAATTAACGATGTAAGTGATATTCATGCTTACATCTTTATCTTTGTTTATATTCATATTGTTTAAAAATGTGATCTTAAATATTGTATATCTGATAAAGAGTGTGTTTCATTATAGATAAAAAAGAAAAAAGCTACTGATAAAAGTAAAAAGAATCTGAATACCAATGACATTACAGAAAAATTAATGTCAATCTCTGAAAATGAAATGCATAATGTAAAGTCACAATCTGAAACTCCAGATGTGGCCAGTTTTGCTGTATCGAAGTATTTCAATGGTGTCCTGCGTGATTATCAGATAGAGGGTTTGCAATGGCTCAAAGTACTTTATGAAAATGCAGTCAATGGAATTTTAGCAGATGAGATGGGTCTTGGAAAAACAGTACAAGTTATTACATTGTTTTGTCATCTAATTAAGAAACGTCAAAACGGTCCCTACTTAATAGTTGCTCCGCTTTCGACTAACCCAACTGGTTGATGGAATTTGAAAAGTTCGCTCCAAAACTATCAGTCGTCCTATTTCACGACGAGTCAACGGAGCGACTTGCCGCGCAGAAAAAAATTCGGCAAAAAATGCGTGTTGACAACTCATTCCACACAGCCAATTGTCCTAACAACATATGAAGTACCAATAATGGAAATCTGATTTCTGCATAGTCAGAAGTGGAGATACATAGTAGTAGACGAAGGTCAACGAATAAAAAATTATAAATGTCAGCTAATCAAGTGAGCTCAATTTTTTAATTATATTTAATTATAGGAGATTGAATCCAGAAACGCTTGACATTATTATCTGACAACTTACACGTATTTAATTTCGCATAGGATACTGAAATCATTACAGTCTATGAATAGACTTTTATTAACCGGTACACCATTGCAAAATAATCTTTCTGAGTTATGGTCTCTCCTAGATTATCTTCTATCGGAGAATTTCAACGACTTGGCAGTGTTCGAGTCATGGTTTGATGCAAAAGAACTTCAGGATGAGAAAGGCGCCGAAACAGTTCTGAAACAAGAGTAGGAGAAACGTGTAATGGCCAGCTTACGCGAGATCCTAAAACCATTCATGTTGCGTCGACTTAAAAGTGACGTGTGTTTGGAAGTTCCGCCAAAGAAAGAGGTTATCGTCTATACTCCAATCACTGAATTGCAGCACGATTTGTATACAGCCATCTTGAACAGCGACCTACAGACTTTGAGTAAAATAGAAAAGCAAGGTCTTATTATACCAGAAGTCAACGGAAGAAGGCCGAAGAGGAAGTGCGTCACGCAGAAGTTTAATATGCATGGTGAATCCTCATCGACTAGCATATCCTCAGAATATAGCGATAACAATAGTAATATGAATGATGTGAACCAGTTTGGCTGGAAGTCATGTAATAATGTTCAGAAAAGTAATTCGTCTATGTGGAAGAAATACACGGACGTTACAAATCGCAACTCTGAATTTTTTAAGAACATTAATTTTGGAAACAGAAGTACGTTTTCACTTAATAGTAATCTTTCCTCGGTTATAGTAATGCTTTACCAATATTTTTGACACTTTTCTTTTATAGTGGTATTGTACAAAAAAGTTGTTAATCACCCGTACTTAATTCATTGCCCTTTGGACGACGCTGGTTTACCAAAGATTGACGAAAATCTGATAAAATGTTCAGGCAAGCTTTTAGTGCTGGATGCTATGGTTGCTAAGCTCAAAACACAAGGTCACAAAATACTTATATTCTCCACCTGGACTAATTAAATACTTTATCTTTATTAAAAGCTATGTGATGATCTTGAGAATAGTGAAAATACTTCTTGGTACACTATGTAAATTTACATCCTGAAGGATGTGTGACAAATTAAATTTAAATAAAATAATCTTGATTCGATGTAGAATGACACCTGCGATGAAAGGGTTAACACTGCGCGTGCATACTCATTGGAACCATAAGATGTATTTTATTACAAAGGTATACGTTCTTCAACAATTAAAATAGTTGCCTTATTAACAATATACATATATAGTATTATGATATACTTTGAGCCGTATCGTAAATCTCTTACTCCCGTTTTGTTCAACGTGGTTCAATGCAAAAACTCGATTTTACTGGGCTGTTAGCCAATCAGGAACTTGTACTTCGAAGATGAACGGGAGTTTATGCATTAAACCGCGTTGAAAAAAACAAGCCTCAGTGTACACTGTTCACATCTAATTCAGGCATTCATACGTATCTTTGATTTGACATTTCACAGATAAATTCAAATAAGGACCGCGAATGTAAATATATATATACGAATTTCTCTTGCTAGCTTAATCGTATCGCCGTTACATCGATTTCATAATACTGGACAGAAGTATTAAATTAAATTAAACGAGAGAAAGTTCTACATTGCAAGATCAATGAAGCTTCAATTTGCATCGAATGCTTGACAATTTTTTTTTTTTCACAATATATTCACGTGCTTGCGATAACAATAATAATCGAGTGACATACTCTGTGCTCATCGGCTTGTTATAATATTTATTCTTATAGTGAGAATTTGATATTCAGAATTTGAAATGGTGCTCGTTATTCACTCGATGCCCGGGGGAGAAATGGAGACGCATATATGTAAATGCCAGAATTGAGGAGCCCTAATATATCTAACTTATCACTTTTCTGGAGGTCCGTGTTCGTCCATGTGATTTTTGAAAACTT